ATGACTTGTTCTGGTCCTCTGGGTGCAGAAAGCAGCCGGATGAATTCACGCTGCTCTGGAATAACGGACGTCTGCCGTCATTACACAACAGCACCTGTGAGCTGCAGGAGATCCAAGCAGATCCTCTCAGAGATGCTGCTGATACTGGATCCGCCTGAAACCTGCCTGGCAGCCGCTCTGTTTAGACTGAAGCCTCCATCACACGAGACTCAGAGAAGCAAAACAGAAACAGAAAGAAGAAACGAGAAGCGTTAGTGGGTCAGAACCTGAGCCTGGACAGTGACTGGGCTCTGGTTTGATTTGTTTGGCCTGAAGTTCACGTTTACATTCTGACTTTCTCCCTCTTCGTCCCTCCGGTTGCATTCCTCCCCAGACATTTTCTTCGCCCTTCTCATTTTACCATCGGCATGCTGGGAGTCGGCCAAGCTGAATTCCTGACCGCTGCTGTCTGGTCGCTTACCTGCACAGGTAACACGAGCGACCCGGAGCTCCGCCCAGAGCCCCACAAGAACCAGAGCCTCCCAGCGATAGACGGAGGCCGACGTGAAGAGTCTCCGAAACCTTCCTTCTGAGTGTCATCGTCTGGTTTCAGCAAATACGTCCTCATTTTCATAAGAAACCCTCAACATGAATCATTAAACTTGACGTGACTGAGTTCAACGTCTGTGCGAGTCTCGGGTTCTTTCTTCAGAACCTTGTTCAGGAGTTAGGTTTCCATCCTATAGCAGAGCCGCAACTAGTCAAATATCAAATTAATCTCCAGATGTTTTGAGAATCGATTATTCTGTTCGAACAAAAGCAGTTTAAATTCTCAGATTGCAGCTTCTAAATGTGAATATGTGAGCATTTCTTTGTCATATCTGATATTAAACTGAACCTGAAGACATCACCACAATATTTAAATCATGCAGCGGAGAAAATGGAAGAAAAAAAAAATAGTTGTCTCGTTAAACAATAATGAATCAATTGATGGTTTGTCTATAAAAAAATTTAAAATGTCTACAAAGTAAAATGACGTTTTGTTCAGTCAGCTGGTGAATTAATTGCAGATATGTTGATCATCAGGAAACTGGTTTGAGTCCCTTTTTCAATACAAACAGTCTGAACTCTGTGATTTTAATGTGAACATGTTCTGGTTTCTTTCCTCTCTGACAGTAAACTGAAGAAACAAGACGTTTTTGAAACTCTGATCCACGTTTTTCACCTTTTTCTCACATTTTGCGTCTCAAACAACTGATTGATTCGTCCAGAAAACTATCCACGATAAAATAATCGTGAATTGCAGAATAAATATTTCAGCAGCTCGTCATTTCTTAAAGCACAAACACAAGACTTACTGATGAATCAGGGGTTGACAACGTTACTGTTTGCTGATCAGAGCACTAGTTAACCTCTTGGTGACCTGGTTTACTGACTTTATTTTAATGTTATTATATCATGAGTATTGACTGGTTAAAGGCCTAAACAGTAACTGGTCTGTTAACTAGTTCAGTAGTACCACTGGTCTACTGGCTGGTAACTGGTTCACTGAAGGGATTAACCGACTCCTTGTTTTACTTGTTAACTCGTTTCTAGTTTTATTTCATATATTCCTGGTTGTAAATCTGACAAACACGTTGATGAGACTTTATGAACTCGTTCATCTGGAAGCTTTAGGTTTTCCTTCAGCTCAGGCCTTTGCTCCGTCAGGTCTGAAGCCCCGCCCACCCTGTGATGTCACCAGTGCAAGGTGTGTGTGTGTGTGTGTGTGTGTGTGTGTGTGTGTGTGTGTGTGTGTGTGTGTGTGTGTGTGTGAGAGAGAGAGAGGGAGAGCTTATTTAAAGGGCGCCTCTCTCTCTCTGCAGCGTTCGACACCAGCTCAGCATCAGCTGCTTCTTCCAGGAATAAAAACTGAAGCGTTTCCTCGGAGACCAACCAGTCAGTAAGTAAACAGCTAGTAAAGATGACTAACCTGCCGCTAGCAGGCTGTTTAACCAGCTTTCATACTGATCCAACAGGTTTACAACATTTAAACCTGCTTTAAATACAGTTTACTGATGGCTGTTAACTAGTTACTGACTGACTTCAACCCTCACCCTGCTAACTCTTTTACTAACCAGCAGTTTCATAAACTTACTGAATGTTAAACTTTGATCAGCTCACTCGTTGGTTAACTGTTTACCACTTCTTTTTATTCTCTGTTAATAGTTTTACTGACTGATTAACAGTTTTAGTGACCAAAGGATTTACTGGTTAACAAAACGAGTCTCCTCCGTCGTTGCTCTAAAGACCTTTTTAACTAGTTACTGCCTGGTTTATCTACTCTCACAGTAGCTGGTTTACTAATCAACTTCTACTAGTCGACCTGTTGATCCTGTCTTCCCTGTTTACTGACTGGTTTACCAGTTGGTTAGTTTAGGGCTGATTGCTGCATTGCTAACTCGTGTACTCAGTCTCTGCTGGTTGACTGACCTATCTAACTAGTTGCTGTCTGGTTTGCTTATTTAAGGATAGTTTATAGCTGGTTTACTAGTCTGTCTTCACAAGTTGACATACTGGTTTATACCTGCTGGTTAAGGGATTTTCTGGCTCTGGTTGGGTAACTGGTTTAATGGTATAGGGTTTTCTAACCAACTGACCTCTTTAAGCACTTACTGCCTGGTTAACCCACTGAATGTTTATAGTTAATTTACTAATTAGTCTTTACTAGTTTAGTTTAGTGATTTGATGCCTCTGTTGGGTAACTGGTTTAAAGGCTGGGACAGATTGTCTAACCTCTTTTAGCAAGTGACTGCCTGGTTTATCCATTAACTCACAGCTGGTTTACTTGTTAGTCTTTACTAATTTACTGACTGGTTTGCCTGTTGGTTGAGTGGTTTGCTGGTTTGGTAAATGGCTGGTTAAGGGCTTTGGGGACTTGTTATTTTCATATTATCATGTTTGTTAGCCAACTTACTAAACAGCTGGTTGGCTGACTAACTAACCACCAATAGACTTGGTAAAATGTAGTTTTCTGATTGACTTTCTCCTTCACTGGTGAGCTGAATGCTTCACCAGTTGTTCAGTTTAGGGTTGATTGCAGAATTGTTTACTCCTGTGCTTAGTCTTTGCTAGTTGTCTAACCATTTTAACTAGTTGCTGCCTGGTTTGCCTCTTGGCAAATAGTGTCTTGCTGGTTTACCAGTCAGTCCTTACTAGCTGTCTGTTTATGCTTCTCTGTTTACTGGCTGGAGTGATTTGCTGGTTCTGGTTAAGTAGCTGGTTTAAGATTTTGGTGACATGTTTTAAACTTTTTATTTTCATTTTGTCATTATTAAACAATTTGCTGAAAGACTGGTTGATTTTCTCACTGACCAGTAGCCTATTGGTTAATTGGTTTAAGTATTGCTGATTAACTTATTTGTTTTCCTGGTGTACTGTTCACCAATGTATTGACCTGATTAACTACTTTAATTACTTTACATTGTCTAACTAAGTTACCTGTTGGTTAAACCAGTCTTCTTATTCTTAACTAGTTGGTTAACTTAATGTAAATGCTTATTTGTTTACTTACTGAGTGAAATACTTAACTAGTTGCCTCTATCCTCTAGCTTGTGTTCTGACTAGTTTACCAACTGGTCAGTTTACTGGTTGCTGAATTGTCTTTGCTCGTTAACTGGCCTTGTTTACCTGTTTATTACTGATTAGTGAGTAGTTTTGTCACCAGGTAACTAGTTGACCTCCTTGCTGACCTGTTTCAGTTACAGTTATTTCAGTTTTCTTCTTGGTTACTGACTGATTTGCTGTTTAGACTAGTTTTGTACGGTCTGTTTCTGTATCCTGACTGACTGACTGGTTTAAAGACCTAACCAGTTAACTGGTTTTAATAGTTAGTTTGCTGACTGAGTTATGTTACCTGGTTAAGCCACAGTTTATCACTAACTAGTTAACTGCATTCACTATGTTTTGCTGTTAACTGCCTGGTTAACTGACAGACAGGTAGTTGGGTGATTAGTTAGTTTTGAAAACTGATGATTTACAAACTAAAATGTAATTAATTGCTAACTAACAGTTTTAATCCCTACATTTCATGCTGTTGTTAGATGAATTGAACTGTTGACTAACTTAGTGACTGGTGTTAGTTTACATGTTGTTCACTAACTTAGGCACTGGTTTACTGAGTTCTTAACTAACTGACTGGTTACTGACTTATAACTACTTTAATATCATGGTTGTTCATTTCTTGCAGGTTATTCTCATTCAGTTCGTGTTTACAGACTGGACTCAGTAAATCCATCTGTCATGTATATAAACTGGTTTACTGCGTTAACCAAACTAGTCATTCTTTACTAGTTGACTGACCTTGTTTAGATGTTTACTACCTAATTTACATGCAGACAGATTGTTTTTCGGTGCCAGACTAGTTTAATTAGTGTTTCTTGGCAGGCTGTCGTCTAACCGGTGTACTGACCTGGTTACCAGTTGGTTGGTACTTTAAAAGCTATGACTACCTAGTTTTTGTTACTGAACTAAAGTTATTTCAATTCAGTGACTTTCTATTGTCTGAGTGAGCTGGCTGTTGGTTGAACTAGTCCACTCAGCCTTTACTAGTTGGTTGACTTATTTAAATACTGTTTATTTTGTATAATGTATGTAAATGTTTACAACAAAATAAAACTCTCTTGTCCCACTGGTTGGTTTACTGGCTGACCAATAATTGGTTAACTGTTTTACATATTTTTAACTTTATGTCTGTTTACTGGTTTACTATTCACTTTATGGCTAGTTTACTGCGTTAACTGCAGATTTAAGCATTCTATTCATTCTGCACTAGATGACTAACTGTAAACTGTCTGGTTAACAGTTTGGTACTGGTTTGTTTTGTGGGTTAACTGGTTTGCTGTTTTGCATTGAATATTTCTTACATTCTGATCTTGTTGATTAGTTAGCTTGCAAGCTAACTGGTGATTGGGTAACTTACTGAAGGTTGTTTTGCTGATGGAATTAGTTATGAACAGATTATGGTTAACCGGTTTACTGAGTCGACTTAACTCGTCCACACGGTCTTTACTCACTGACTGATGTTGTTTAACAGTTTACTAGCAGCTTTACTGACTAGTTTGTTCTTTGCTTTGTGTTGTTATTAGCTTTGATATTTGATAACTAATCTACTGAAGTGGTTGAATTGTGGTTGGTTAACTTAATGACTGATCTGGGACTGGTGTGGTAGTTTGAGGACTAGTTGAATATCTGGTTTGCTGATGTCCGGTGCAGCTGGTCAGCTAAAGATATGACAACTAGTCCTGGTTGGTACTAGTAAGTAGTTGGTAGTGAAGTCACTAAGGGTTGCTGGCTGCTTTACTGACTGGTGACTGACTGGTTTACCGGTGCATTAACTGGTAATCTGGTCTCAGTGTGTCACTCACATCTTTTCTTGAAGCGTGTGTATGAAGCATCACATTCAAGCAGAGTTTTACTGGTTAACGGTCTGTTAACTAGTTTGCTGACTAGCTTCTACCTGGTCCAGTAACGTCTGGTTTAAACGGTTAAACTCGTGAACATTTCTGTTTATTGCTTCAGTCTAATGTCATCTGAACTGTGTGTTTTCTCAGTAAACGCTGATTGTGTTTCTTCCAGGTGCAGAAATGTGTCGGCTGTCCGTCGTCCTGCCTCTGACAGGTACCTGCTCACCTCCACCTGATGCTCCGCCCCTCAGTCACACAGCTTATTAACATGCTCTCTCTGTTTCTTCAGGCCTCTTCGTCCTCATCGCCTCAGTGTTGGGCTCCACGTCCAGCGGTGAGTCCTGAAGATAACCGACTGTCTGTCTGTCTGTCTGTCTGTCTGTCTGTCCATCTGTCTTCCTGTCTCATCAGATCAACGGTAGATCTGAGGGTCAGTCTGCGTGAAGACTCCAGCAGCAGAATCGATGCTTCAGACTTCACTGATGATGAAACTAAACCTGATGGTTCAGATCCACAGAAAACTTGTGTTCTAGTTTATAAGGATTAATAATAAGGACCATATTGCATGACAAAATATATGATATGTATGAAGTAAAACAAACCTGAAGACACTAAATGTTTAGATACCAGTGACAACAGAGACCAGTTGGTGACGGCTCCCCCTAGAGGCGGCACTGTCCACTACAGAATAAAACACGTTTAGTTCTTCATCCAGAGATGATGGAGAAGAAGAAAGCTCTGCTGTGGCTCGTTTCTCTTTAGATAAAGAAGGATTGTATCACATTTAAAGGTGCACCATCCGTAATACGAGTTCCTTCTGTTGGATGTTCATCAGATCCACCAAAGTTCACCTGAACATGACTCAGCAGATTATCTCCAACAGCAGCAATGAAACTACATTCAACAGCTTTAAACACTGAGTTACATAAAACAAAGCGTCTGTAAAGATCAGCTGATTGTGTTTAATTGATGAAATGAGGCTTAATAAGTGAGTCGAACCGTGTTGGTTCAGGACGTGTTTGGGTCACATACACGGAAAGTTTTGGTCGTTTGTTTGTATTTTATGTCCTCTTATTCCTGAATCTCTACAGAGTCAGCATGACTCCTAAAACACAGCAGAAGAATCCATTAACCAGTGAATGGTTCATCCTCTGGAGAGCAGAAATGTGATCAGGAGAGTTCATGTCGACACAGTCTGTGGGTTAATTCCTGACTTTCTTTTTATCATCAAATTAGACGACAAACACAAAAAAACCTGCAGATCTGAACCAACACGGATGAACTCAGTGTTCATGTGAAGAGTTCATTTACAAAAACAGATACCTCCATCTCCATAAACCTCCATAAACCTCCCTAAACCTCCAGACCCACGTCTCCATCGTCTGTCTGAGACGACATCAGTCCAACTGACGTTCTCTCTGTTTCTGTCGTGTCTACAGATCAGATCCACTCAGCTTCAGTCTGACTGACATCATCTCAAGAAAGTTTTCTGAAAATCTACAAAAATGGATTTATCTGTTTCTGTAAATGAACTCTTCATTTATTTACAGAGAAAAAAACAAAAGGATCCATGAACAAACCACACAGGAGACAGAAACGTACAGATCCTGTAAGAATCCAGCGTTGATTCATTTTCTGCCACATTTACATGAAAATCTGCAGAAAAGCTTCAAGCTTTAACCCACATTTCATCTTCTTTTCTCTCCAGAGCTGTGCTGGTTGATCAGTGAATAACTCTAGGTCCATTCCTCTGAGCAGTAATTAATCAGGTTGGCTTTGAGCAGCAGCCGGCTGGACTCAGGAGGAGGATAATGTGTGTTTCAACAGAAGCTCTGACGGATTCAGACTTTGAAGTGAAACTAAAACCTCCCAGAGCGACTCGCTGTTGTTCCTCGTCTGTTTGTTTTGAGCCCGAATCATAAAAATGTCTGAAAGTGAGACGAGCTGATAGAAGCAGCAGATGAAAAGCAGCTTTCATCCTCTCACAGACATGCTTGTTATTCCGATCCTCTGCTGATTCAGCTGCTTTATGTAACAGCAGAACCGTCTCATTCATCCTCCTCCATCACGGCCACTACGGCTGCTTCGGTTTCTGCCTCGACCGGCGCTTTATCGGAGACAAATGAAGCTGCTGATGACAGCATTGCCATGACGATGACACTGTTTTCATCCTCAGCTTAAGCTGCAGTTGTTTTACTGATCTACAGTAACTGGTCAGGTCCAAAAGATCTGATAGATTATTACAGCAACCAGCTCTCATTGGCTTTTTGTGTGTGTGAATGGTTATTTTACTCTCCCTTTATTTTAATTTAATTTTTAAATCATTTTTCAAATATTTATCATTTTCCACCGTTTTTAACCTTCATAAATTATTTGTCCTTTTATTCTAGAATTGATGTTTGTTTATTTCATTTCCATTTTTCATTCATTCATTTTATTTTTTTCCCCTTTAGTTCATTTTGCTAAAATTATAATATTTTAATTATCTCTTTAGTGATGATTCATTTTTATATGTTAATACTTTAATTACTCTTAGAATTCAGTTATTGTTATTTGATTTTTGCCGTGTTTTTAATTTAAATCACACAATTTAGAGTTTTTCCCAACTTCTGGTTTATCTTCTGTTCATTTCTCAACTTATTATAGTTTGTTTTATATATTTTTTCTCCTTCCGTTGTGACATATTTCAATAAATGTTCATTTACTGAGTGTGACAGCTGTTATATTTCTTTGTTTTGTCACTTTACTGTACAGTCACATATAACAACACGTTTACAGGATAATAAGTATGTGATGATGTTTAGAGTTTTCATGTTGTTCTGTTCAGTTCCTGACCCGATCACCTGCGTGACCCGTGGAGCCGACTTGACGCAGGACGGCGTCGTGGTTCTATGTCCTCCAGGCTGCTCTCAGTGGAGGACGTCGGTGTTCGGGACGGGAATCTACGCCGCCGTTTCATCCGTGTGCGGCGCTGCAGTTCACAGGTACGACTTATCAATCAATCATCAATAATCAATCACAGTCTGATGACATCATCATTCCTATTCACTTAATGTAAATGGATCAATTTGATTATTTCTCGACCTTCTGTTCTATTTTATATTTATTACACTTAGATATTTATTTGTTTTCGTTAATTAAATATAATTTTGTTTTTATTTTTCTTGTTTCCTTTTCTTACTATTATTATTTTTGTATTTGTTCTTATATTTTATATTTTATTTTTTAAATGTATTTTAATTTTCTTACTTATTTTGTTTTTATTTAATTCCTTTTTTATCAGTCTTTTTATAATTATTTGTCTTCTTCTTCTACTAATTTGTACAATTTCTTTTTATTGATGTCATGATATTTGTAATAATTAAATCAACTTATCGTTTTTTCAGTCTAATTCTACCTCTTGTTCGTTCTGTTTCTCTATTTATTGGAATTATTTTTCAACATATCTTTTGTTGTTTTGTTCATTTTATTGATCTTTTTCCTTTTTCTTCATTTCATCCTTATTTTTCTTTAAGCAGTTTTTGCTCCTTTGAGTTTCATAAGAATTATGTCTTCATATAGAATCAATTAGATTCTTTTTTTTTTTTTCATGTTCCATTTTCTATTCATTCAGTTGCTCGGTTTATATATATCTATATCTATATCCACATCTTTATACTGTATATAATATTTATAATGCATATGTATTTTTATACTTTTATCATTGTTTGTAATGTGTCTTTATTTTTTATTGTCTTTTTTTAATTAAATTTTTAAAGTTATCTGATGATTTCTTCCTTCTTCTGTTGTATTTTCTATTCTGTAGGTTTCCTGTTTTTCACTGGTTTCTCTTTCTGTGTAACGTTGTGATTTCATGGCTCTGCTCTCTGGTTCTTCTCTGGTTCTTCTCTGGTTCTTCTCTCTGAGGTCTATCGGTCTGATCAGCTGTTCTAGGTTTCAGACCTCGTCCTTTACCTCTCGGCCGTCCGGGTGCAGCAGGTGAAGCAGCAGCAGAGCTTCTGGTGTAGCTTTTCAGACACGTGGATCAGACGGAGTTCTGCTACCGAGACGTGACACAATAATGAGCTGCTGACCCTCAACAAAACACCAACAGCATGAAGGAATGTGCAGGAATGAAGGATTAAGCTCTCAACCCTGACTGACCTCCTGCTTCCTCTGCAGAGGCCTCCAGGGGCCCGACAGGAAAACCTCCTTTAATCCTCCACAGATAGCAGCGCTGCACCTCCGGTCCTGCAGGCGCTGCTCTCCCACTGCTCTATTCATGAGGCTCTCTGTGGAGACAAAGATCTCTTCGACTCTGGGGCTGTAACAAACCTCAGTGATTAGAGGTCATCAGGGGTCAGTCTGATTAATGTTGCTCATACTTGTGGTTCCTGCAGGGGGGTTCTGGGGCCATCCGGTGGTCCCGTGAAGGTCCACAAGCTGCAGGGACGACACAACTACCTGAGCTCGTACGCTCACGGCGTCCACTCCCAGGCCCTGTCGCACTGGACCGCCTCCTTCAGCCTCACCAGTAGGTGGCGCCGCTGATTGATCACTTCGTTGATTGATCAGCTGCAGCAGACAGAGCTGATCGTCTGCTACAAGCCACCGCGGATTAAAATCTAAATGAAAATCTAATCTGGTCTCACTGCTGAGGGGATGTAGGTGCAGCTGAAAATGAAATAATGGTGACGGTAGTTACAACGGGTTTAACTTTGTTAACTTGTTTGTTTAAACTTCAATAATAATAATGCAAACTGGTGACATCTAGCAACTTTAGCAACAGCTAACGCCACAGCTGCTTACACAGCTACTGTCATAGAAGCTAACTGAGGCCAACATAAAGCTAATTACATAGCTAAAGACATAGCAGAAAGCTAACTACACAGTTAAAGACAGAGAGAAGCTAACTACACAGCTAGAGACATAGTAGAAAGCTAACTACACAGCTAAAGACAGAAAGAAGCTAATTATTCAGCTAAAGACATAGTAGAAAGCTAACTATACAGCTATAAACATAGAAAGAAGCTAATTACATAGCTAAAGACTTAGCAGAAAGCTAACGATACAGCTAAAGAGAGAAAGAAGCTAATTTCACAGCTCAAGACCTAGAAAGAAGCTAATTACATAGCTAAAGACATAGCAAGAAGCTAACTGCATCGCTAAAGACATAGAAAGAAGCTAAATACATAGCTAAAGACATAGCAGAAAGCTAACTATACAGCTAAAGACATAGAAAGAAGTTAACTACATAGCTAAAGACGTAGAAAGAAGCTAATTACATAGCTAAAGACGTGGAAAGAAGCTAATTATATAGCTAAAGACATAGCAGAAAGCTAGCTATACAGCTAAAGACATAGAAAAAAGCTAAGGTTAGAGCTGTCTATTGAGTAAAAGCTAGCTTCTCAGATAGCCACAGCTAGTCTTTGCTAAATCTAAAGCTAGGTTTAGTTATTTATTTATTGTTTTCTATCAATAAAATGTCAAAATTTTGATGAATTGGCATTTTGATTTTTCACTTTGTTGGTTTTCTCATAATAAAATGACGACAGCAGCTAAATCAGTCCATCACGGTGCTTAAATAAAAAGAAAGTTTGTTAGCTTAGCATATCTCAGAAGCCGTCATCTCAAGCTACCTTTAAAACACACACTTCATTGAATTAGACTGTAAAATGTGCATGATATATATTTCAGTATATCTTATTAATAGCACCGATTAAAACGTAAACCCAGAAACACTTTATTTTTTAAACATATTAAACTTGGATGATGTAATTTCAGATTCCAGTGGTGCTGATTTCCTTATTAACGGTCTCTGCTGTGTTTTTAGAACCAGTTCATGTTCCCCTGGAGCTGACCAGTGACACCAGTACAACGGCTCTACCAGCAGCTCAACCAGGTAACTCACATGGCACAACCAATAGGATCTGATCTTATTCTATTAAATATCTGCTGCAGACTTTTAGTTCATCACAAAGATAAAAATATGAATGTGGGTTTTGTTTTAGCAAAGAAACCACTGAAGAAGCCGTCAGTGAAGAAAGCTCTGCAAGGTGGAAATAAAGGTGAGACGATTGTATGATGACAAAATCATTTATCCGACAAGATGATGAACTTTTTCTGCAAAATAAAGAAATTATTCAACAAACTATTGACTTGTGCCACAAAATAAACAGGCTGTCTCACAAGATAATTCATTTTTTTCACTAAATAAAACGTTTTTCCTTGAAATTAGTCACTTAAAGATGCAAGCTGTGCAAAGTAGAAGCATCCAGTAATAGTCGTGTTCAGAACAACGGCTGCATAAAGGATGAAACCAACTTCAACCATCAGCATGAATTATTTTATTTATGAACACAACCAGTAGCTCCTCAGTAAAACATGTAGTCTGTGACACCACCGGGCTCTTCATTACTAATCCGTCAGACTGACTGTGTAGATAACATGTTGACGTGTGTGCAGACTGTCAGATGGACATCGCCATGGTGATCGACAGCAGCAACAACATCGGCCAGCGACGGTTCAACCTGCAGAAGAACTTTGTGGCCAAACTGGCGGCCATGTTGAGAGTCGGCTCCACCGGACCTCACGTGGGACTGATACAGGCCAGGTCAGATCATCGGTCCGGTTCAGTTTATCACAGACTCTCACACGTCTGCACATCTGAACAAACAAGTACAGGTCAGATAAATCTCTGCACACTTTCAGGCTCCAAATGAACGGTTTGATTCTCTTTTGAATCTTTAAAGACACCTTTCAGTCTAACAGATCTTCTTCAGGCAGTATCACAGAGAAGAGAAACGTTTCTGACAGATAACCAGAACTAAACTACCCACCACAGGACAGAGATCACAGTCCTGCACACAGAGCAGAAGGTTTGAAACGGTGTGACGGCAGCACAGAACACATGGAGGTGGTTTCTTTACAAAGTGGCAGAGAAACGGCAACTTCCTGGTTAACAGCTGATTGGCACACAGCTCCCATCGAGGATATAAAGCTCCCATCATCAGTCAGGTCTCTTCATGAAACAATGATCCTTATGAAAAAGGAAAATATACACACACACACACACACACACACCACATATTTATGTTACGCCGGAAGTTGATCTTCAAAACTTATCTGTACCTAATACAGTTGTCTTTACTTGTATTTATTTTATTTTTTTCTGTTCTTGTGAGCTGAATTTAAGTGTTTTTTCTTTGTTTTTAAACCTTTAATAATACAGACCTGTGTCATTTGTGATATGAACCAGTTTGGCACTTTGTCACTGAGCTGCTCTATTAATGTGTGAGTTCTGGTTGGAGGTCATGAACCTCCTCAGAAACTCCCACAATGCTCTCTGCTGCTACCCTGAGCTGTAGTCTGTATACGCCTCCTATGGTCTCTACAGGGTTAAACAGTGAGAGGCTCCACCTGGTGGAACAACCAGATACTACAGCTGGTCTATGATGCGTTTACTGACATGCATGACCTTCTGCCGCCTTATCGGTTGATTTATTTTTAATCAGTTACATTATGAAGGCAGTTAATTTGATTACGAGTCTAAACAGATACAGGTGTGTTCGTACTAATGACGTATATTTACGTATTTATTTATGTATTTATGTGTTTGTTTATGTATTTATGTATTTATGTGTTTATATGTGTGTGTGTGTTCGCAGTGATTCTCCCAAAACAGAGTTTCTGCTGAACAACTACACTCAGCCAAAAGAGCTGATGTTTGCCATCAAGGAGCTGGCGTACCTGGGAGGAGATACTAACACAGGTAACACACACACACACACACACACACAGAGAAGTGAATGTACCTGTTCCCTCCGTGATCCGATCACATTGACTGATTGATTTTAGTAGATTTTATTTTAGCAGTGGCAGAAAATGACATGAGTAGGAGCTGAATTTATCACAGTTAGAAACTGACTAGACTAGATAAAAATAGATGAACTTAAGCTCTAACTAATAGTCACGGTTGACTGAAGCGCGTGTCCACCTGTGCAGGTAAAGCCATCATGCACACAGCAGAGAGCTTCTTCAACCAGGAGAACGGGGGCCGACGGGGCCACCCTCGGGTCATGATGGTCCTGGTGGACGGCTGGCCATCAGACGACCTGGAGCAGGCGGCCATGTTGGCCCGGGAGAGCGGCATCAACGTCTTCCTGGTGTCTGTGGCCAAACCGGCGGCCGAAGAGCTCGGCATGGTGAGGGACAAAGACTTCATGAAGAAGGTGAGACGATGCTTCACTGAGGGATTTATTTCATTTACACCGATAAAAGTTCACAGCTTGGATCGTCGTAGTAAATTAGTCTTTGGATGTTTGGATTTGGTGGGTGTCTGTGATAATGTCGGGTCTTAACCTTAATTTTGAAATTAGTCAGAGATATTTATCCAACAAAAGACGTCTTGACTTGATATTCATTTGTTTTTAAAGCATTCGTTGTAGTTCAGACCGTTGTAGAGCGACCTGATGGTGGCGCTGTTGTCATTGACCTGTTTCTTCTTCTCCTGCTGCAGGCGGTGTGTAAAGACAACGGTTTCTTCAGCTATTCGATTCCCAGCTGGTTCAGCACAACCAAACATGTCCGACCTCTGACCCAGAGACTCTGCGCACTGGACGGCCTCCTCTGCAGTAAGACACACCCACACCTGTCTAACACCTGTCCAACACCTGTCTAACACCTGGAACACACCTGTCAAACACCTAACACCTGGAACACACCTGTCTAACACCTGTCTAACACCTGTCTAACACCTGGAACACACCTGTCTAACACCTGGAACACACCTGTCTAAAATTTGGAACACACCTGTCCAACACCTG